GAACATTGGCATTTTATTCCTGTGCATAATTACGATTTTCAGTATTACCATCGCAAAATTGAAACTGAATTTGCTTGGATTTGCGATTCATGCGAACTTTTCTTTTACTAAACCTTACATTAATCACGAAGATCAATTTTACCAAGGTGGTGCAAAAAGCCAACTGTACCATCGAAGCGATCTGTTTTCATATTTTTAAAGGAAGCGGCATTTTCTAAGGAGGTATAACATTAATTGTTACCAGAAGAAAATATTATCGACACCAATAATTACCGTAAGTCATTTTTTTTGATTTGTATAAAGTAGTGGCCGGAGATTTTTAGTACTTTGCATAAGAAATTTTGTTTGAAGTAATTTCAATATTCCCAAAGGAATCAACGCGTCAAATATTTGTATGAAACAAATTTTGTGTTGTATTTATTAATAAGAATCAAATCCAAACAAAGGAATTGGGTGATTTACCTTCGTTGATTGGGAATTGTGTACTTAATTTCGGTGATACCATTCTTTTGGTTGGATTAAAATTTTTGTCGCATTAAGAGGTGTGTGTACAGGGTGTTTTTTTGGGAGCTTTAGTTAAAAGTTTCTGGGAAAGTAAAATAGGTAGGTTTTTGAAAATTTGTACTTAGGAGTTACTCTGAAGGACGAATCGATGTAAAATATTTTCAAAATGGCCGCACTTCCGGAAACACCGGAAGTAGATAGTAACTTCGTTATTTTAAATGGCAACCCCTATTTTTTTATTGCTTTTTTGGATTCTACGTGAAATTTCACTTCTTTTGATACCCATATGTCGATATCTACCATTTATGGTTTTTAAGTTATTCTGACTTTAAGAAAAAAAATGGCGGATGCAGATGGTACCTTGATAATTGATTACTTGCAAACGGTTGTAGTCATGGCAACCTATTTTTATCAGTGCATAGAGAATGAATAGGTCTTTCTTTTAGTGCACTTAAAAAAAAGTTAAGTTGCGTACGACCGCCCCTATGGATATCCAAATTTATGAAACTTCAAAGACTAAAAACTCAGTTTTTTTAATGGAATGACCATGTTCTTACTATTCCATGAGATAGAGAATCGAAATGGGCATATTTTGACAATACATGTTCCTATAGCTATCTTTAACAGTTTCTGACTTATTTCCCATTTTATTGAATTGACACTATTTTTTTCGGATTTTCTTTTTAGTAGTCGGCAATGATTCTATAACAATTGAATTTTAAACAAATCTAGTGACACTAATCCATCATACACTGTTATAGGTTAACATAAGTTTTTCAAAAATCGAAAAATGACTCGTAGTGGTTTCGCCTATTTTGGAATTTAATTGTTATTTAAGGTGAAATGGGCAGAATCGCGGCGCGTGCTTTCCGTACATTCATTCGAAAACTGGAACGAAATTGTATGAATTTTGGAAATTTTGTACCCCTAATGCACTACAAACCGTTGAAGCACAAGTTATACAAAGCTCTACAAGAGAATATTTAAGAAAATGAATTGAATTGCAAATGCAAGTTTAACAAAATAAATTCAATGCAAAATATAAAAAACTTTGTTGAAACATTTTTGGTATGGAATTGTTGCTAGAACAGATATCGCATTACCTCTCTTAATTTCCAGACTTATACGTTGTTTAAGAAATTCAGTTGAACGACTCTGTTTAGATTTTTCAAAAATTGTCTGTCCTATATCCTTATTAAATGAGTTATTTATTAATGAATTATTTAGACTAGAACTAGAATCAGTGGTATTAAAGAATCCATTCCTTGATTTGTTTAAAATTCGATTGTTATAAAATCATGGTCAACTACTAAAAAGAAAATGCGAAAAAAAATGGCATCAATTCCGAGATCAATTCAATGAAATGGGAATAAATCAGAAACTGTTAAAGATAGCTATAGGAACATGTATAGTCAAAATATGCCAATTTCGATTCTCTATCTCATGCAATATTAAGAACATGGTCACTCCATTTTAAAAAAAACTGAGTTTATAGACTTTGAAGTTTCTTAAATTTGGATCTCTATATAGGTGCGGTTGTACGCAACTTAACTTTGTTTTAAGTACAGTAAAAGAAAGCCCTATTCATTCTCTATGCACTGATAAAAATGGGTTGCCATGACTATAACCTTTTTCAAGTATTCAATTATCAAGGTACCATCTGCATCCGCCATTTTTTTTTCTTAAAGTCAAAATAACTTAAAAACCATAAATGGCAGATATGACATAATTATGGGTATCAAAAGAACTGAAATTTCACGTAGAATCCAAAAATGCAATAAAAAATAGGGGTTGCCATTTAAAATAACGAAGTTACTATCTACTTCCGGTGTTTCCGGAAGTGCGGCCATTTTGAAAATATTTTACATCGATTCGGCCTTCAGAGTAACACCTAAGTACACATTTTCAAAATCCTACCTATTTTACTTTCCCAGAAACTTTTAACTAAAGCTCCCAAAAAAACACCCTGTATACTTTGAACAGGAGAATGTACCACTAGTTTATCATGTGGTAAAGATTAATTTTAGATCAGGATCAATTTTAGCACGGAAATAGGCATTGCATTTTATGTAGGTATTTCTTTTTATGAATCTAATGGATATTTTATATCCGACAGGAACATGTAAAGAAAAATGGACATTGATCGCCTTTCTTTTTAATAATATATTTCAATCAACTAAATCCATATGCGTATTTATTCAAAATCAATAATACTAGAGCATTGGATTTTGAATTTCAGGTTTTAAGAGAAGAGGCCAAACTCCCGCAAGATTACCGAACTAGCCGTGAGTAAAATAAAAATGAATTGCCCTAGAAGTCTCAATTTGTGTTTCGTCTTAGCCAGATTTGTTGTCCCAGTTAAATTTATCGAACGTAACAAATAAGAAATATAAGAAATTATATACAAAGAGAAACACTTACACCTTTATCATTTCACAATGTCTGATGATCGATTTAAATAAGTAATAATTTTGCATTTTATCTTATAATGACCTAAATTTACTTTAAATCAAAGACGAAGCACTCACATCGTAGTCAGTGTTTTTAATAAACTTAAAATAATTATGCAAACTAATATCATGCGTGGTATCGCAATAATATAGGACGAATATTGGTTTGATTGTCTATTTGTCTTTTATATATTTCCACACCATGAATCCGATTGGCATGAAACTTCGCGAAGTTGTCGAGTACACCCACGCGAAGGTTTCTGGCATAGCACCTATGCCCTATAATTTATACCTACATAGAATTAAAATAATATTCTGAAATGTTTTTCGGACAAAAAAGTTTTAATACAGTTTTACTTTGCATTTTGGATTTTCATTTCAAATCATATCCAAAACCCTTAGTGACGCTCCATTTTCTAATCTGTTAAGTTTCGTGAGGAATAAAATAAAATAAAATAAATTTTAAGAGTTTTGGGGACGCTCCGAAGTGGAAAGAATTTTATTTGAATAGTAACCAAATTGGCAGACATTTTTTTACAAGAAATGGTATGAAAAGTGTTACTTTTTTTCACAAAACGTCAGGCAGATTCTCATAAATAAGAAACTTAGCATTGCGCAGTTATGGGTAGATCTGATGTTTAAAATATGCGATGTTTGCCTTTACTAGAAGAATCTTTGGATGAAAATTTAAAAATATTTCTATAAAGTTGAGATTGCGTTGTTTGCGCATGCGCACATCTTACTCTTATAATATGCGATATGCGTATTTTTATTAGATACATTTGTGGTAAAAATAAATATCTCTATGAATAAGAAAGTGAACACTATGCACAGTTTGTGCATGCGTAAATTAATCGCCAAGAAATCTTAGCTCAGGTGCTAGAGCTACTGAATGTAAAATGAACGAACTAAATATTGAAAACTGTAGTAGCAGTTAAGGCGTCGGACGGACGGACAGAGGAAGTGGCCATAATACCGCCGTCCAACAAGTGCGCTAACAAATTGTAGTTACATGCGCGTTTACGATGTTTGCCTTTTTTGTGTCAATATTCACTATCCTTTTTTCTCAGGTACAAAATGAAGTTGCCTAAAATACAACTAAATAAACTAAACTAAATTTGACCGTTTTTGAAATCTAATCTGCCACATTAATTTACAATTGAATGTTTCAGATACAAACGATTGGTTCGAATTATATTTGAGCGCTTCTGAACTCAGCTAAGCACTCTAATTTTAAATTCCCACTTACAAATCTGTTACTTATCGAGTGACTAGATAAGAATGGCAAGCGGCTGTACCTCAGAGGGTCACAAAGGTATTGAGGTGATGTTGAAAATTGTTTTGTCACGAAAGTCAGAAAATGAAAAAAAATTCTCCTATCCATTTTTATCCATCTTTTATACAAAATCCTGTTCTGTTAGAATGTCTGGGTTTTTGCTAAGACACACGTACCTGTTATGTTAAACCAAAGAGTATGTTAAACGAATGCTGGAACAGTTTTTTCCCCTTCAGTTTACCATTTCCATTCCTTCCGATCTCGCGTTGTTAGACTGAACAGGGTGTGGAAATCTTGGGCTAAAGTCAAAAGTATGAGAGGAATGCAACACGCTTTTTACTCTTTTTTTTTACCTCTTTTGCCTGAATCTTCGTTAACCTGGGAAACAATACTTTGTTTAAGAATGTTACAGTGGAAGCTGTAACATTCTTGCCATCTTTGTAGTAATGACCACGATTTCAATTCGCCACCCCCTGTTTTTAATAATGACACTTATGAAAACGTCAATTTCAGTGTGGATTTTGCCTTGCTTAATGCGTGTAGGAAACCTGGAGCGTATTCGTTTTCGTATCCATTAAAAGTTCCATTAAACCCATTGGTTGGCAGGTACAGTTTATGAATCTTTTAGTCTACCTTATACAATTTGCTCACGATCGATTACAAAATAATAATGACTGAATGCAACGAAAACTCGTAAAGTATGTTGAGAATTACACGTACTTCGTTAAGCAATTCACAATTAAACTTAAATTAAGTTCGCCCGGTTATTTTCAAAATTGTAAACGGTTTAGTTTAGTGGTAATACTGGATTGTCGACCCCATTTCATGTGATTACCTAAGATGTTTTTGGATATATAAGGCACAATTGTCATTCACATCTCAGTACAGATCAAGTGATCGTAAGAAAGTTACAAACATGAAAGTAATCATCATTGCAAGCATACTAGTCGCAGTGAATGCTGGGGGCCTCATTGCACCTCTCGCTCCCGCACCATTGCTAAGAGGTCATCTGGCACCCGCTCCAATTCTAAGGGCCGCTCCTATTGTTGCCAAAAGCGTCGCCGTTGCGGACGCCGACTTCGATCCAAATCCTCAATACTCCTACCACTATGATATTCAAGACGCCTTAACTGGGGATTCTAAAAACCACTTCGAAACAAGAAACGGCGATGCTGTGCAAGGAAGTTACTCGCTGAGCGAAGCAGATGGTTCCCGTCGTATTGTCGAATATACTGCTGACCCAATTAATGGTTTTAACGCCGTTGTGCATAAAGAGCCAGCTCAGGTGGCTTACGCTGCACCTGTCGCCAAAGTTGCGGCACCGTTGGCGTATGCTGCACCGATCGCTAAAGCTCCATTGCTTCATGCAATTCATTAGACCTTGTTATTAAAGCAATTAAGTGTTGAAAGATCTAATTGTATATATTTATAATTTGCGAAAGACTTATTTATACGATCAAATAAAGCGTACCATGATTCTTCATCCTAAATTTACATGGAGGAAATCACTACACGGATACTATTAAGTTTCTTTTTAAGTACCTGTATCTACATTGAGCAATTACAAAATAATATCTCGGTTGGAGTTAATATTGATAGAGAACGAAAGAAACCATTTTAGCAGTAATAAACCTGTGCAATCCCCTTCGGAATTAAGAAATCTCCCCGGAAAGGATTACTCTGTATAAAAAGCGTAGTTTTTTCCTTGTGCGTTTCTGCAGCTTACGAAGTATGTGACGGCTCCTTTTTAAGGCTTATAAGATTATTAAACTCGCGTGCTTATTTTCACTGAAAAAAAATCATCTATACCTACTCAAAAACGTAATAAATTGTAATGCAATCTATGGTAGTCTTTACTGTCAATAAAAAAATAGTATAATGATTGTGTTTTCTTCTTTGTTAATTTCTAAAATATATTCTGTTTAACAGGCACACAGGGTAACTAAAAGTTGCCAAGATAAAGATAAAATTCCAACTTACTTCAATTTTTTTTAAATTTAGCTGAGAATATTCTAGATTCTCCTTTGCTTGTCTAATATATACGTTAAGGCTATTCAAATATATAAGTATTCAATGGCCGATGAAATATATAGATATTGGGGTATATATTCATGTAGAAGTAGACATAGGGATTTTATATAGGAATTTCCTGTCTACTTTTAAATGATAAAAAGTCTTCTAAAGGACGCCTAACTTTATGCAACCAAAATAACTACCTACAACAAATGAAGATCTAGATATATTTTACGGGTGCGTAATTATAACACAAACGGCGCCCGATAAAGAAGTCACCCTGCTAAATATTAATATTCATTATTACTCGGTTAGGTTCAACTAAATCGTGCAAGGCGCATTACGTTAAATAACATTGCAGCAAAGTAAGAAACATGTCGGTGGCTGTAATTAGTTATAAATGACGATACCCCTCCCCCCTCGCTCCCCCGGTGTTTGCCTAATGCTTCATGTACAATGACATTAATGTAGCAAATAATGCAATGCAATCATGTAATCACTCGTTGTGGAATTAAAACTTTATACGAATATGTCAAAGAACTGAACGTACAAAAGAATAGGCGAGACCACTGCATACTGATGAATGTGTGTAGCTCAGATTATCACATGATTTGTTAATGTTTTATGGTGTTCAGTACATAGTCTCCAAAACAATACATTAAAAGCTTTCGGTACTGTAACATAAAATTCTCGGAATACTCTCGAAAACAATCTCATTTGTTGTGTTATGTTGATGTAAAATACAAAGTAATTACCTTTCCATCTCTCTTGGTCAAAATTTTTTCGTTTACAACACAAACAAATATGTATTTAAAAGTTTAAGATTTTTTGCCTGCTTCGTAAAATATTAACCAGTTCTCTGGCGAAAGCTTTCATTAGACTTTTTTCATTGTTTGCGTTTACAGCGGTTCGTCACCCTAGACGTGTTCAGAATTGGATTTTACCTTACACTTTATACTAATTTAGAATGCATAAATTTTCCACAAAGTTCTCAATACCCAAGAAAGCCACTACTACCCCAATGGTTAGCGCATTAGAGAATCAGACGTGCGTTATAAGTTGTTCCCAGAAATTCAAGAACTAAAAATTCTTAGCATACTAATGTATGCTTAATTGTGCTTTTAACCTTCCCTCTCATGCCACCACTGTGATCTTTCCGCTGTTCGGAATGGAAAAAGTTGTGAGTAACGAAAAAGATTTGTGGATAACCGAGGTATTCGACACTCTTAAGTGATTGAGAGTACGATACAATAGTATATTATACGGAGTCTGTAGCTAGGCAAGTGTGCTTGGAATAAGCGAAAGAGTTCTCTTGGTTCTGTCGTATACTTAAATAATCCTAGGTTGACTGCACCCCGTATGGCTGTGTTAAGCGGTAACAGGACGTCAGCAAGAGTAGATTTTAGGCGTTACTTAAACTAATTCAATAAATTGTAGTCGATAAGCCTTCTACTTTAAACTCTGCAGATTTTACCTTTGAGCATTTTTTAATACTATTAAATTGCTTAATGCAAAAGCGCTTTTAGTACAATAGGCGCGATGAAAATAGGTTAAAGTTGCGGTTAGTAGCTATATCTTATTTTTGTAGATGTCGATACCTTACGTTGTGGCCGTTCTTGGAAAATTCAAATGAAATGTGTCGCAAATGACGCAAACTAGTAAGAGAGGCATTTAGTCGACCTCATAGTCGATAAGACCGCATACTGCATCTGGAGGTGCGAACGCAGTATAGCTATAGTCTTAGAAAAAATATAGATGAGCTTACAAAGCAAGGTAGTGTAAGGTCATTGTACTCAAGATAGCAGTTTCTCATCAAGAATTGAAGATGTTCCTAATCCAAAACCGACACTCCGTACCGTAGTGAATCAGCAATGAACGGAGACAGGGGAACAATTTGTCAAATGTAATTTAAAAAAATACTGTGATACTAAAAAGTGTTCTGAAAAATAAGATTTAAATTTTCACATTTAATTTTATATTCTTCAGGCTCTCTCTCAAAAATACATAAAACAATGAGAATGAAGTGGAAGGGGTGGCAATTTTCTAGGTGGGGTTTAGGCAGTTTTTGATAAAGACTTCCCATTACATAACGATCGGCCACCAAGGTCGTATGATTGTCCGATTGAATTCCATCCGATTCCTTTATTTGGGGTTATATCATTAGTTTACGTCAATACACTCCAAAGGATCCACGAATTAAAAGAGGAACTTCGACGAGTGTTTGGTGAAATCAAAATAACGGCCAATCAAGAAAGGATTGACGTCGAGTCGCCTTTGGAAGTTCAAATTAAATAGGATTTCCCATGCAAACAAAAATTCCAAAGAGAGAGTTTTGGAATGGCAGCAAAGTAGAGGGGGTCATATGTGCGATATTATTTTCCATGCTTAAAATGGGAAGGTTTGTTTAACAAGTGTATGTCCACGTTAAAGTGTTTTTTAAGAATAAAGTTATTTTTTTGATATATCAAAACTGCGCCATTTTTGAATGCCCCATTATCACCATTATCAGCTTACTGTCTAGCTTTTCTAAAGTTTTCGAAATTGTTATTAATAATCAATTAATTAGTTATCTAACAACATTTAAGATCATTAATAACTCTCAACATGGTTTTATAAAAAACAGGTCGACTGACACAGCGCTATGTGAGTATGTTGCCAGAGCTGTAACAGCTGTCGATCGTCGGCTTTTAACCGTAGGTGTTTTTGTTGATTTTTCTGCGGCTTTCGACACTGTTTGCTATGAAAAGTTGATTAGTAAGTTATCCCATTACTGTATTCGAGGAACTATTCTAAAATTGTTTGAATCCTACTTACGGGGCAGATCGCAGCTAGTTGAATTCCCTAATGGGCAGCGCGGTGTAGCAACGCCAATTTTGTCAGGGGTCCCGCAAGGATCCATACTGGGTCCTACTTTATTTGTCATTTACAGTAATGATCTCGTACCTTTTGTTAAAGAGAGTGCTGTTGACGATAGTATCTTTGTTATAGATTATGCTGACGATACAAACATCCTAATAACGGCAAACAGTGCACTAGATTTAAAACATAAAATTACTCACACGCTAGATCAAATAAATAAGTGGTGCAATGATAATAATTTGATCCTTAATTCCAGTAAAACTGCCGTGATCCCTTTTGGTGCCACAAAAATTGAATCCAATATTTTGAAGTGCTCTGAAACTACTAAAATGTCATGATCTCACCTGGTTTTTTCATACTGATAATGTTTGTAAACTTGCACGAAGCTGTTGTTATACACTGAATGCGTTAAAAAAATTATGCAACAAATCCACATTGCTTACTGTGTACTACTCAGGCTTTCACTCGCACATTCGATATAATATCAGATCAGAATGATTTGCTCCTTACCATGTAAAACTCCATGTAGGATATTTTTTAAAGAGTTGTTGTAGTAGTTGACACATACATATATCCTCGAAATATCTTGCTACGCGTTTAAAAACAAATCAAGTTTCATAAATCCCGATCATAGATACAACACACGTAAAAAAACTCATTTGTATCCTTGTAGACATAGGACCACACTCTTTCAAAAGAATTTGTTATTCCGAGCGTGTCCAATTTTCAATGCCTTACCGAGAAATATTAAAGAAATTACTTCCTTTTCGAAATTTAGAATAACGCTCAAAAACTTTTTGATGGAGCAGTCATATTACCACTTGAACGAATATCTCGAAAGATGATTTTATTGTTTTATTGTTCATTGTATGCTTTACCTTAACATTATAATTTATGTAAAATATTTATATTTATATTTACACGTGACACATTGTTACGTACGTTCTGTTCTTATACAAGTATATGGAATGTACGAGTATTTTGTGACAAATAATGAATATGATATGATATGATAAGTGGTCGCAAAGTAGAGGGGGTATCATATATTCAAAAGAAACGTCAATACATAACCTTGATAAATACTCACGATGGGTGTGCAGGTAGGTACTCTATATAATGTCTAGGAATTGTATACAACACCTAGGTAAAGTATATATTCTATGTATACAGTGAGTTTTTTTAAGACTGGCCATAGGATTTTGCATCTTAATTTTTCAATAAAAACTCACTGTATATTGCCTAGGAATTGTATAGAATACCTGAACATACAGACTGCCGAAGGGAATTGATTTAGATTCCTGTTTAAATGGTTAACTGGTTAAATCGCATACTAAACACAATCACAATATTAGAGCATAGTTGAGGTTGTAAATGTTGATTATTCCGCAGTTTGCAATGGATCAACCAAATTTACGATCTGAGCTACCACTTATAATAAATGTGAACACTTCTCTGGCCTGAACCACTTTTAATAAAAAATCGTAGTTGGCATTATGGATTATTTTCACCAACAACTAAAACATTGTGTTATCTACTATACTGAACGTTATTTTATTTCAGTAAATTTATACTGATGTAAACGTAGTTGTACCAACTATATTGTCATGTGATTTAAACTGGAGATATTTCGAACAAAAGATTGCCGAGTTTTGCTCTTAAAATAATCGAGGAGTAAATCTCTTACCCAAAAACCCGAAATAATTTATGTACGTTACTGCTTTAACTCTTACAAGCGTGATTTATGAAGTTATTGGTTTCGAATTTACATTTTACGTATAAAATCTTACTGCAGATCGCGTTTTAAAGCTTTTTTGAAAGAACTCGAGCTCTCTGAAACGAACGTAATATACATCAAAATGTAGGTTTCTCATCGATTTCATGTTATACCTCATTTTGTTGTAATTACTCCACTTAAAGTGGGCCATCAATCACACCTTCCGTTTCGTGTCGTGATAGGGTGGCATAAAAATAAATTAACTTTTATTCTTATCGTCGTCGGACTTCTCTGTAAAGTAATTCTTCAGTTGAGACATACAGGTTGAATTACTGTCGTAATATCTGGGTATGTGAACTTGAGCACCAGTGTAGGCGCCGTTGTTACAGTTACACTTATGCAAGATGTCACTTTCGAAAGTGTTATGGGAGCCACCCATACTAATGATTGATGATGACCGTGACCTACTGTGCTGTTGTACCTATATCTGCGAGGATACTTATATACGACTAGTTGCCAAATTTTATATTTATGTACAAATTAAAAATAAACAAGTAAAACAATAACATTCAAAATTAGTGATATTTCGCAATCGCAATTGGTGCGGCAGCCAACTTGGCAAATGGGGCGGCGACAGCGACAGGTGCGGCGGCTACTTTGGCGACTAAGGGTTCCTTGCGTACAACCGCATTGAAACCGTTGACAGGATCGGCGGTGTAATCGACGATTCTTAGGGTACCATCAGATTCGGCGACGGAGTAGCTTCCTTCAACGTAATCTCCATTTCTAGATTCGTGTTGGCTTTTGCTGTCTCCAGTAAGATGGTCTTGGATGTCATAAGCGTAGGAGTATTGGGGGTTGGGATCGTATTCTTCAGCTACTACGGCTTTAGCTAATGGCGCTGCGTAGGCTACTGGTGCAGCCACTTTGGCGATGGCTGGTGCGGCGTAAGCTATGGGGGCGGCTCGTGCATATGGGGCGGAATAAGCTAGAGGTGCTGCTAACGGCGCGGAATACCCATGATAGCTTACGGCTGGTGCCGCAATAATTCCGGCATTTACGGCAGCACACAAAACGGCGAGAATTACTAACTATAAGAGAAAATATCAAACAAGGCTGTCTTTTGTAATTAACTCACCTGAAGAGCCATGCTGCTGTTGTGGTAGTTCACTTTGTTAAGTGTATTTGGATAATGAAATGGATTGGTTATGGGTGCTTTTATATTCAAGTTGGTAGCATATCTAGAACACATTTCGCCCGGCACGCCCTTCTAAAGGTCGTAATATACCGTCTACGCTCATTCTTAAATTACTTGAGATCTTTTGTAATCGTTTTTGTTCCAAATACTATCGACGTTATTGGTAGTCTTTATTTAACAATGCAAACTCGAACACGGTGGCGTGTAATGTAGGTGTTCATTAAACATTAACTTGATTTAATAACCAATTACGGCATTTCACCCCAATTGCGTTAAGCTTTCATATAATTCCACGTAAACATATCACGAATATACCCTTGTTATAACCTTAATGCTATACGGTATTTAGGTATAATGCAAGAGTCCTTTTGTCATTAAGTGTATGCTTTATCCGTCGGCTTCCCAATGATCAGGATTATTCGAGCCTTCAATTCAAACGGGCCAACGCAAATACTCAGAATACATGAAATTCAAGTACTTTGTTCTATTTAATTATATAAAAGGAACTTGCAAATAAGCAGCGGTACTTGAAATCGAAAAAAAATAACAAATAGATACCTACTCACTTTACGGACGCTTCAGACTATTGCTCAAGAGAAGCAAAAGCTATCAATTCATATTGCCCGTAAAGATTGTTTTCCACAAGTCTCGTCTATATTACAATGCGTCCATTAATGGGACCATGAGAAATAGAATTTATAAATCATCATAAATCAAAAATTAAGAGGTATGCAGGGTGAATCAATTAAATACGGGGAGTTGTGAAGGGAAGGGGAACGCCAACGTACATTTTTCAAAATAAATGGAGGGCCCCAAATGCTTCATTTGGATATTACGCCCCAAAAGTACCAAAATTCTGGTTTCTCTTGTAAATTGTTTTCCAGCAGATCTAACATAGAAAAATTTGCAAGTAACGGCTTTCCCTAGATTTTTTCTTTCCGATATTGCAAACATTTTTTTTGGCTGCTTTTCATTAGGGTCCTGTACCTACCTATGACTCCGTTGATTTGAATTTCATAGTCTTTCAAAAATGTGTAACATGAAATTAAATCCGTGCAAAGAAGGCTACTGAAGTTTCTCTCATTTAAGTGCCATGGAGTTTACCCTTCTCAAGGCTACGATAACACTACTCAACGCACGGTTCGAACTTCTTTACTTGGAAGTTCGGAGATTAGTTCTCGGACTGACCTTTCTATACAATTTTGTCTCGAATAAGGTTTAGTTGATTGCATTGAGTGATTGAGTTGATGTCTTTAATAAAGTTTTCGGTTCTGCATCATGCTACTGGGGAGTGTTACTACGTTTTATTGTAAGAGCGCCCGGACATCTTTCACTTGTGCAGTACATTCAACAAAACTTCTCGATATGGTGATATACGTTATAATAATAATAATAAGTGCCGTTTATTAGACTTCTAAAATAAACATAAAGCAATATACAACGGTAAAAAAAAACTATTATAATACCCAGGGAGTTAAAGGAATTGATATTTGTGAAATATGATACAATACGATATTACTTTTTCACTTTGATTAACTTTGTTTTGATTTTGGTTATTTTGTTATTTAACATTAAGGTATTATTATATTTAAGATTAAAGATATTATTACATCTGTGTACATTCTATTATTTGTAACTTCATATTGTTCTGTAATTGGAATGTTTGTTTTTCTGTTGGACAATAAAGGAAATTTAATTTAATTAAAATCAAAAATACTTGACTTGATGCTACATGAAAATGATTTAGATTTTGATCACCCTTCTACACTCTACAGGGTGCTCTAAAACTAATGGTCAATTTTATTAACTTCAAACCTTAAAAAGTTGTTCCTTCAAATGAAACCTTTCAAATGTCGAAAAAAATTCTGCATCGATCAATCAATCAACTAATTTTAAGGAATTGGGGTTCGATTTAGAGGATCGAGGCCAAAATATTGCAATCTCTTGGCAGCAATAATAAAAACAATTTTTTCGACATGTGAAAATACAAAAAAATAAAGCAGGTTTCATTTGAAAAAATCAACTTTTTAGGTTTGAAGTTATTAAAATTGACCATTAGTTTTAAAACACTCTGTAGAAGGGCGATTAAAATTTAAATCATTCTCATGTCAACACGTCAGTATTGTTGATTTTGAAATGCTTTTTGAAATTCAAGCCAACGGAGCCATAGGTACAGGGCGCTAAAGAAAAACAGTCAAATATCACACATTTTGAAAACGCTTGAATAACCTGAAAACCTTTGATGCTGGGTATAGGGAAATGTAGTATGGAACGACATACATTTTTATGTAGATTGCGAAAATACTTACTTTTACTTTCGGGTAACAGTTTGCGCGAAACCGCCTGAATAACAATGATACTTTTTAAAGGAAACAAAAAGAACAGAATTGTGGTGGATTGTCACATTGTACCGTTAGGAGTAAGATATCATGGTTTCAGGACCATCAGACTTTTATTAAACCTACAAATTAAAAATTAAACGTCCATCCAAACGATTCAGCACCCATTTGATTCTGAGCCTCAGAGCGAATTTAACGTGCTGTCATTTTTTAGAAAACCTCTTTACTTTCAACAACTTAAACATTTTCTTAAAAAAAGGCCCGAAGTTGTATTTTTTCCCTTAGGTGTGAAAGAATTTAAAATCTTGTCCTCAATAAGCAGGAAATTTTAAACAGCTTTACTGGATTGGGAAAGTCTTTTATGGAGTAGTTGAAGAAATTTTGAAGAAGTCTGGAAGAGGTTTTGAAGACATTTTGAAAATGTTTTGAAGAGATTTTGAATATATTTTGAAGAGACTTTAAATTCATTTTGTAGAGATTTTGAACATATTTCGAGGTGATTTTGAAGAAATTGTTGAAGAGCGAGTTTGAAGAGATTTTAAAGTGATTTCGAAGAGACTTTGAAGGAATTTAGAATAGGTTTTGAAGCAATTTGAAGATATTTTGAAGGGAGTTTGAAGAGATTTTGAAGAAATTTTGAAGAGATTTTGAAGAAGTCTGGAAGAGGTTTTGAAGACATTTTGAAAATGTTTTGAAGAGATTTTGAAGAGATGAATTGAGGGTATCCATGTTTGCATGAGACGCATGGGGAAGGTTTTGAGTTATTAATTCTCCCTAATTTCTTCGATGTGCACCCCATTTTGAGGTCAAGGAGACGCATGGGGAAGGTTTTGAGTTATTAATTCTCCCTCATTTTTGGAAGAGATGTTGAAGTGATTTTGAAGAGATTTCTATAATAGTCCATGCTACGCGAACGGTTATTAGGGGTGGCATGCGGATTACTAATAAACAATTAACGAGGGGATTCCTCGAACTGCTCTCTTGGACGTCCAAACACACCAATTGGGGTAGAATTCGTTATTGTAGTCTTGTGGATGGCATGTTGGAGGGATAACATTCAGCTCAAAAAGCCAGAACTGGTAGATAAGGGGTTACGCCGCGCATGGGTGTGTTATTTAGAAATACACACCGCTTCGTCCCTCTGATCAATTGTCAGGTCAATGCATCTCATTTTGCATTCCGCCAAGCCTGCAGGTCGAGATCGCTCCTTCACTGCTTGTGTTAGGGGGCCTTAACTTTTGCGTATTGGGTCACCACCATGGCACTATGGGACCGCGTCGTATCAATATACTTTTTTCCGTGCCGTTTCCTCACGGCTGAACCAAAGCGTGTAGTATGCCTCCATTTGTGCACAAACGCGTATCCTTAACCAGTCAGCGCATTATCAAATGGGGGTTAACGTTTTAGTTTTTGATTATACTCCTAGAACGGGCGTCAATATTTACGCGCGTTTCGTGTGTGGCTGTCTGCATGATTTTATAATATGTTCTAAAACGGTCGTAGAAACGCTTGCCGCGACGTCCGTTTAATAAGCGATCGTGTGACCCTGGCCTAAGGATCACTACAAAATATCATTCTTACACTTTTTAAATTACAAGAGGTTCCAAAAAACGTGAAGCTTAGTTTGGAGAATCTTGAATTAAACTTGAACTGAGTTAAATTATCTAGGCTTGACTTTCACGTTCGTCAAACTTCAAGAGTAAGGTACAAGAAGATGCAGATGGCCTAAAGTAGAACTTGTTCCATTCGATACAGACCTTACCCAAGAATTACATTTGGAATTTATTTTTGCTCCTACTGCAGTTATTTTTGTCGTTAGACTTAGGGGCAGCGAGATGAGTTTGAAGTTCTAATTTTATTTTCAAAATTATGTTTGTGATTGAATTAAAGTGCACTCACTGCTGGAATGGTACAGAAAGTCACAGAATACAATATTTAAATTTGTGCTTTTCTTTACATTTTATAGGTACACGCCGAAAGTAATTGAGAGGATAAGCGGTGTAAATTTCAAATAACGAAGGTGTCCCAATTTCGTTCTATTCTATATTTGAAATTATATACTTATGAGACAATTTTTCTTTTAAAATTGACATTTATTAAAGATAAAAAAAATATTAACCTCGTTCAGTGTAAATTGTGATTGCCTTTCAACATGTGTGTGCCCTAGAAAGTCGCTAAAAAAAGTCGACCAAAGACTTTCGATGAATTTATCTTATTTGTTTGCAGCAACGCGTAAAATAGTCTCGAGGGTGGCGACAGTTACAATTATATTCACGTGCGCCACTTCCAAGTTCAAATTATATTAATAGACGTTGCGAATAAAGTTTCCGTTCTAAATTCGTCATCCCACTTCCGCCTCGTAGTAATTAGAGGAATACTACTTAAAATGAAATGAAAACGGCAAGACGAATTTACATTATACTACCGAAACAATTCCAGAATGATTAATAGCTTAGATTTACGTGCTGCGTAGCAATGTCTTCGGGACACTACAACGAGGGATTATAGTTGTGCGTGTTCTTCTAATTTCTACTCTTAGATGTGTTAATATTCTGCATTCTCATCTCATCCGGATAATAGAGATATCAAGGGAGTCGCGTTGTTTTATGTTAATCTCGTATTTATTCTGATCGTTTTGCGGAGCACTTTATATTTAATTGTAAATTGCTGCCATTAGGAACCTAAAAGTGTTTCCACATAAATTT